CTGACTAAAACTGATGATGGGGTCAGTACTTCCACATTTTATCAGGGCAACAGGACAACGGAAATCCTGAAAAACAGCTTGGTTCTGAAGCATTTTCAACATTTTAAAGGAAAACTGAATATATATGGTTTTGTTGTTGAACATATTTTGTACTCTAAGTCTTTGAAATTAGGTAAACTTCAAATGGTTTATTTAGTTATTGCAATTCACCAGAATATTTAATTCCTCCAAACACTTGATTCCAAGAATATAAGGGCACAACAAGCAGTAAGCTGTCCTTATCCTTACTGTTACCTGAGAGATAAGCCCTGGCAGCCAGGCCAAGAGGGGTGAGACCACAGAGTCAATGAAGATGCTCTTTGCATCTCCCACTTCCTGATCTCCTTAGATTTCAATGGAACTTATTCAGAGAGAAAATGAATTAGGGGAAGAAATAAAATGAATTAGCCAGTTCACATTCCCTTTGTTATAGTGTGAGTAGTAATAGAAGGAAAAGTAATAATTAGGAGCATAATATGAATAATCACAAGCCTTTTATTTATAGATGTAGGTTTACTTTACAAAGCCCCCAAATGCACCCATTCACCCCTGTAGCTGCCCTCTGGTGAAGTTGTGGTGGAGAGCACCAGCTCTACGCAGGCAGGTGGACCTCAGCTAAAACCCCTGCTCTGCCACTTACTTGCTGAACGACCCTGGGCAAGGTATTTAACATTCTCTACCACAGTTTCTTCATCTATAAAATAGGGCTAATACTAAGTCATAGGTTGATGCAAGGATAAAGGTGTTCACAACTAGGAAAATTGCTAAGATAACAGAGTTATATGCACAGTACTCACTTGCATTTTCTTATCTAATCTGTACACTCCCTAAGAGCCACAGTTAGTTCTATTTTATAAAAGCTTAGCAAATTAAAGTGACTTGCCTGAGGTCACCTTCCTAAGGAAGTGGGGGTTTGGATCACATATATGAAACTGTTGGCACAATAGGTAGGAAATATTTACTCTCAGCTTCATCACAAGGGCCTTTGTCAGGTCCTTTGCACACTCCCTTCTGCCTTCACACCTGCTGGTCCTTCTGCCTGCAGTGCACTGCCCGACCCTCTCTGCCTGAACTCCTACACAATCTCTAGATCTCAGTTCAGCAGTCATTTCCTCAGGAGAGTCTTCCCTCAGCTCCCTTGTCTGTCAAATCCTTCATTATAATAAGCTACAGTAGAATGCTCTTCTAGTTGACATTTTATAATTCTGTGTATGACTGCAAATGTGGTGAAGACCTGTCTCCTCCACCAGACCGTGAGCCCTTGAGACACGCCCTGTGTCATCGTGTGCTCAGCACCACACACTAGCACCTAGCACTCCTCCGAACATATAGGATGTGCACAATAGTATTTTTTAAAGAATTGTGAATGAGTAAACATATTAAGTACATAATACATTTTGGCCCTTATTTCTATCCATTCATTTGCAGATGAAGAAACTAAGACCCAGTCAGGTTAAACAAACTGCCAAAGTCATCTGAATGGTGCATTCTGAATCAGACTCACACGGAAGGCTTCAGACTCTGCAAGGGTCTCACCACCGGACTCACTTTTATAACCAAATATCAAATTCAGCTGTCATGATAGAATAATGACCTCTTGCCAAAGGTGTCCACAGTCTAATCTCCAGAATCTGTGAATTTGTTACCTTACATAGCAAAGCAGACTTTGGTTGTGATTAAGCATCTTGAGATGGGGAGATGATCCTGCACTATCCAGAAAGCACCAGTGTAATCGTAAGGGTTCTTACAAGAGGGAGGCAGGATTGTCAGAGTGAGAGAAGGAGATGTGGTGATGGAAACAGGGGTCAGAGTGATATCATTGCTGGAAAGAGGCCATAAGCCAAAGAAAGCAGGCAGCCTCTAGAAAATGGAAAAGGAATGTGTTCTCCTTACACTTTCCAGAGGAGCCAGCCCTGCCAATGCCTTCCTTGCTTTTAGCCACGTAAGACCTATATTCAGACTTCTGACTTCCAGAATTTCATGATAACAAAATTGTGTTATATTGCTTTGGATGCTAAGTTTGCAGGAATTTGTTCACAGCAACAATAGGAAATGAATGCAGATGTTAATGACCTCCAGTGCACTGATAAAGTTTCTGCATGATGACGGAATAATGAAGCACCACAGACATTATGCTGCAAGATCAGGCTCAACGGATAGACATAAACAACACACAACAACAAAGGACCATTTTTTCAACTAATCTAGTCAGTTGCTTACTGAAGCCAGATATTTCATACAAACAAAAAAAAATCTATTCTTTCGTTTCTATCTCTGAATAATTTAAAGAAAGTGAATTCCATTGAAAATTAGTCTCATTTTTTTGTTCTGAGATAACACACTGATTGAGAAAAGTCCAAAGATTTTAACTTGAGGGCCACTCCCCACTTTTTAGCCCTATGACATCAAGCTGTGCACTTGCCCCCTGTCTACTGTTCTACTACAAGTGAAACTGAGGGCAGATCCTGAAGCTGCCTCTCAAATCTACCATTCTGTCATCTCATTGCATTATGACTTGGCTTCACCTTTTCAATTAAGAATGCTTCCTATATTCTAATGTGTCCCTCCCACCAAGACCCTCCCCCAGGTTCTTCTTGCATATTGCCCCACACTGAAATCTAAAACTCAGTCTAAAGGCATGTATATCATTTGTAGATCATGAAGGCTAAAAAAGAGTTGAGAGCTCAAGCTGCAGTAGGTCATTCATATACGAGTCCAGAATAGCCACTAAGTGAGAATCAGAATATGGCTCTACCCTGAGTCAACCCCTGAGGTGTGGTAAAATTCTGCACTCATCAAGATCTTCCTCCTTAATGAGTTGTCAGCCCTAACTTATAGGGATATTAAAAGTAACTAATCAAATAACACACCTTAAGGCATGATTTTTAAAAGCTCATAATTTTACCAATGCAATATAAATATCCTTTCTCTTAGATTACTTTTAATATTTATCCTTTTAAAGACACAGTCAAGAGAATAAAAAATATATAAGAGAAAGTGATCAGAAGAAAGGATTGGGGAAGAGGGTTTGGAAGTAAATCCTTGGACTTTTCTCTACCAGAGACCTGTAAAAATAGAAAGATTTAGAACAATCAAAATCAGGGATGCTCCTGGCGTCACCACTCTCCTGCTGACAGACAGATAATTTTGCTAATATACTCAGTGGAACTTGAAAAATTGAAAAATCTATTCCCTGTATATTGTAATGGCCCAAGCAATGAAAAATTTATATTAGTATTGATAATGACATCCTTGGAACAAGACAGGAGCAGGGCCTGGAAGAACATTGTATTTTTAAACAACACACCAGGCATCATTTCTGGAAAGTTACAGTTTCTGTCCTAACTAGTGTTTCAGTGGCTTATCTTCATTATGTAATGTATAGGATGAAGAATATTAGTAAATTAGAAATGACAAAATAAAATGGCCTTCTTCCTAAAAAAATGTTTTTAAATATCCTGTTCTTCCCTATATCCACCATCCAGCATTATTAATTTGTGGGGATATCTAGAGCTCTTCATACATTATATAATTGACTCATGGTTGCCTCTGAAGAGGATTGTCTAAGAGACCCATTTCACGGCTGCCTCTAGGACTAGAAGGGGCTGCAGATGTTCTCTCAGGGACATCATCAGGGAGGAAACTCAGAGCAATCCGCTGAACCTGTTCTTTGCTTCTCAGTGGATCAGACAGAGCAGCCTCAGTTGGGAGGTTCCCCATACAATCACTAGGTTATAGGCTTGTAGGGAAGATGGGCCGGCAGTTTCTGAAAAAGAAAAAGAGATGGAAAAAGCAAATTAGTGGAGAAGGCCCAAGTTATGGAATTCCTCTAGCAACAGTTCAAAGAACTAGGTCTCTTCACTTTCTTGAGTCCAAGTATTTATTGAGTTCATCAGCCAGGCTGATATTTATTGCATATCTATGATGCACCAATATAGACTAAGAGTGGTAGATTAGGCTCAGGGTTGGAAGGGGCAGTGAAAAAACAGAGGTAAGTAGTGGATTGCTGTGGTAGGCAGCCTCCAAGGTGGCCGCTAATGATCGATGTCTGCCTGTATTTCACATCCCTATATAGTCCTTCACACACTGAATTGGAGTTGGGGTGTGACCAATAGAACATGGTAGGAGTAATAGCGTGTTACTTCTGAGGCTGCTCATGAGAGGTACTGCTGCTTCAGCCTCCATCTTTGGAATCACACATAGGGGAAGCCAGCCGCCATGCTATTAGGACTCAACAGCCCTAAAGAGAGATCCGCATGGAGAGCAGCACAAGAGCCCTGCTAGCAGCTAAGAGCTGCCAGATGTGTGAGTGAGCCAACCTGGGGGTGAATCTTCGGACAACAGCAGCCTCAGCTGGTATCTGGCTGTGACTTCATGAGGGACTGAGTGAGAACTGCCCAGCCCAGACACCCCGGAATTCCTGAACCACAGAACTGTGCAAGAAAATAAGTCATGATTGTTCTTTTAAATGCCTAAGTTTTAGGGTGATTCCTTGCACAAATAGACAGATAACTATTATTTTCAAACGGACAGCATGAGTTTAAATGTGATCTAAAAGGCAGTCTAACATAGTAGTTAAGAACAGAGCTCTTGGAGTTGGATCTGGGTTTGAATCCTAGCTGGGTGATTCTGTAAATTTTTTTCATTTTTCCAGTCTTCTGTTTCCTCAGCTGAAGAATATGGATAATAATTAATACCTACTTGTTATTGTGGGTAATAGTAATACCTACTTGTTATTGTGTCCCAGGTCACACACCACTGGACTTCATGACATCTAGGATCTATTCAAACTCTAAAATTCAGGAAGACAGAAATTATGTATATATATCACAAAAGACAGAAGAGACACAATTAAGCATTTACTATATTTTGGCTATTGAGTCAGATTGGTCCTTTACATATTTTAGGCCACCTTTGAACAAAACCTTGATATCAGGACCGTATCATTTCAAACTCCCTGTTTTCAGAAGAACTGGTTCAAGACAGAGGTTGTATGGTAAAAGCTATTGAATTGTAATCAAGTCCTATTGCAGCAAATTAATCTGTGCAAAAGCTGAAAAATATTTCATCAACCAGAAACCAAGAAGAAAGCTTTATTACAGCCTGGTGGTGATCTGACACTTTTACACTCCAGGGACTGGGAAAAGTAATCAACCCATGGGTGTTTACTCCCGGAAAAACTGAGGCTGAGAGGGGAGAAGCTGAGCCCCAGGGGGGCAATACTGCAAGGCTGCCAGCTTTCCGAAAGAGCTCCTGGCTGACACCCAGCACTCCCCACACCTGCTGGCAACTGAGGCTATGTTTGACTTATAAAACAAAACAAAAAACTTTATGAAACCAGCTTTTTGTTATTGAGACCTGAAAATTCACTAGGCTGCAAGTATTTTTTTTAAAGCACTCTGATTTGATACAATATTTCGTTTTGTTTCTCTCTTGCTCTCTTTTCCCCGTCTGCTCTCTCCGTAGCTTCTGGTGATCATGAGAACCTTGGACATTATCATTCCACAGACTCTCGCTCCATTTTTTGCCAATTCCAATTTGTTCTGAGTCCTGAAATAAATGAAATAAATAATAAATGAAAAGGCCACAGGCAATGGCACTATCACCCTGCACACCCAGGGGAGGACCCAGAGGGTGTAGGGAGCTCTCTGCAGAGAAGATGGAAAACAGTGTCTCAGGGGCCCAATTATTTACTGTAGCTGCTGGAATGGGATGATTTATGTCGGTGACAAGCCTGTCCTGGAAGTAGTAACCAACTGGTGTAAATTTAGATCTGTTATAAAAAAAACAATCCTTGAAACAAAAAGAGCCCAAGCTAAAAAGAAATTAAATGACTCTGGATTATATATATATATATATATATACACTGCACTTTATATGTATAGACAGGTATTTGCCATTTAATGATTACTGGATATTCTGATATATTTGCTTGATGGATCTTCAAGAAGCTAAAAATATAAACATTTTGTGTCTTAAATTCATACAGTCACACAAAATAATATAAGTTAAGCCATAGGTGGAAGAGGATGGACTTTTGATTGAAACCTGGCTTTAATTTTCTTGTGCATGATATGAATACCAATGCATTTAATTGTATTTGACCTCCTCAGTGAAGCAGGCAAGGGTTAAACTCACTAGATTAAGATCAGGGTTTGGTTATTTCAAAACAACACCCTACAAGGTCACATACTGAAATGAAAAATTCAAAATGTCAAATAGCAATGCTGGTTCCACTGGATGAGCATCAAAAGGAAATTCATTAAAGCCCTGGGAGAGTCCAAAGCACAAAATTCCCAGGCCTTGGAGTCATTGGGAAAGAGGAGCTAGTGGTTAGCGAAAGCTTAGAGGCTCAGGTTCCACACTGTCAAGACGGCTGACACTAAAGCGTTTTGAAAGTATACACAATCAGTTAAAGAAAACTGAGCATATGTAGTATGTAAATATATTACATTTATAAATAATATTATATTATTTTATAAATATACACACATACATATTATATGTATACACTACATATTATATATACACACACATACATATGTTTATATAATAAAATATGTGTAAACATCAAAGCTTATAAAGTGACAATAAATAAATGTAATTATATGCTCCTTTCTATTCTGTTATCTCACCAGTGGTTACAGCAATGCCACCAAGATTTAGAGATGAGGATGAACGTTATAGAAATAGCATCTGGGGTGGGGTGAGAAACAAGAAATAGAAGGCATTAGGGACGGAAGGCCTTTTAGGTTTGCCTGCCCAGTACCTAATAGTCAAGAAAAGAGTGAGTGGATATCGTGGTATCTTTAACTCCCCACCTCTCCAAATAATACTTCACTCCTTTCCTTGCCATTGTCAGGAACTACACCCACAGGAAGGAATCGTCCTGATTCGCCCTCACGCCACCACTCCTTGGACTCCACCTTCCTGCTGTACACATGGCAGCTTGGAGGCCAAACCTGAATGCAAACAAAGAAATAAAAGCTAATTAACCCTTAGCTTGGACTGTGGCAGTAACAGGACTGCCACCAGGATTTTCTCAGTCTGTCTGCCCATCTGTGGAGAACAGCTCCCAGACTTGAGTCACCTACACAGAATAATTGCCTAAAGAGAAGATGTCTGAGTTCTACCCTTCTCCCTGGAAACTCTACTTTGGCTGCTCTGCTTTGGTGGGCCTGGAATTCTGCATTTTATAATTTCTGGAAAATGTGGAGGAGGAGACTGAGGGCAGCTGTGAGGAAGGGGCTGTACTCCTGGATTCTGATCCTCAGGCAGTCTTGGACCAGTCTCCATCCCTCCACCCCCATCCTCCTGAAGATAGCAGATCAGAGGATGCTGACTTTGAGGAATGGTCAGACAGCCTCTGGGGAGAGGTCAGTGGGGCCAAGTGGAATAGGTCCCCTTACCTATCTGTTATGTTAAGTTCCACAGATGCCCTCTGACTGCATGGCAGCACTCTCCTCAGGTGAACAATCTGTGGATACTGAGCTCGGCCACCCTACCCTTTGCTCCAGTCCCTGACAGTGGGCATTTCTGCAGGAAGAGCTCATGAAGCCCACTGGGTTCAGAATCCTGGGACAGCCTGGGGACACTGTGAAGAGGTGGAAGGAGGGGCACAGAGGTGTATGTGAGAGGAAAGAGCATTCAGGCCTTTGGGCTGTGGTGAGGCACGACACGCTGCTAATGGGACTGGAAGTGTACCTGGGCCAACAGGGAGGGCACTGAAGTGCTACCATGGACGTTGAAGTAATTCAGCAGGCAAGGAGAGTCCCTGGAGACACTTCAACAGGTAAATAGGTACGATAAGATGAGCCTGAGGAAACTGATTGCAGAAAAATGTGGATGATGTATTGGAGGAATGGGAATTTGAATGCAAGAAAACCGGGCACACATGCAGGTAAATAATTCACTAGGTTTGATACCTTATTGAGTAATTAACTAAGGAATTAATAAGGCCTTTGTCACCAGACGACCTAGCGATAGGGACAAAAATGGAAATTCTTGACTATTCTGTCTGTTTATATAGAGATATATGGCTACCTATTCACAGGTAAATGCACATACATGGCCCATCAGAGTCTTAAAATCAATCCACATGATTAATACAAAACATCTCCTCCATTCACTCCCAATTCTCTACTCACACCACACCCATTATGTCAAGGAAAAAAACTAATTTAGGGACATAAATAATTGAATTTAATTTGCACATAGAGCAATTCTTTTTGGTGTTGCTTTGGCTTTAAGAAACCCAAGTATAACCACATCTTTTTGTCCAGAAAGAGGAGGAAGATAAGTGCAACACATCCTGCCTTACTTCAGTGAAAACACCCATCACTATATTTTAAATGTCTTTTTCCCTTTTCTAGATCATAAGATTCTTCATGGCAGTGGCCAAATCCATCTGTGTTAGTTCCAATAACTAGAGCAATGCCTAGCTGATATGCAAAAGATGTTTATAAAATACTCTTGATGGAATAAATTCAGATCCATTAGACGTCACAGAAATGATTTCAGAACTCACAAATGGACAGAGCTATTTTAAAATCCTACTGCTCTGCCAAATAAATGCAAGCCTTTGAGGACTAAGGCCAAGTGGCCCAGCTCATTCCTTACATGCTGGTGGCCCTCTTCCAAACACGTTCACACCATGACAGCAAAGCATGCTGCCCTTGTGTTACATATGTGTGTCCTGGGTCTGGTGGAGGGGATACACTCTGAGCCGTCCCATATATGGGTTGTATGAATCAAAGCCAGTGAAATGTAGCTTCTCTGAGAAATGAATGATCTGTTTATTTTGATGACCTGTTTTATGTACACTTGATAGACCGAAGTTGCAATACCAACCTTGTTCAGTATCTGAAGACTTGAATCTGTAGATTCTGTAACATTTATTGTATCAACCACAGTTGTGTTATATCATAATGAGAATGGACGGATGGAGCTAAAGGAGGTAAATATAAAAGCCAAAGTGCTGACATCATTTCATGGAGGGTATATTAGGCTAGAATAACTGCTGTAACAAACCCCAAGCTTCAGGGGCCTTGCACACTATATGATAACATCTCACTCATGCAAAATACAGTGCAGACATTTTCTCATTAGACAACTTTCCTAGGTAGCTCTCCTCTAAGTGTGCTCCAGGGACACAGCTCCTTCCCTCTCCTAACACCCTTGTCTTCCAGACCTGGTCCCATGGGAGGGAAAGTCAGAGAGTAAAAGATGAAGCAAGAGAGATTTTTATAGGCCAGTTCTGGAAGTGGCAGGTATCAGCAAGCGTAACAGGAAATGAGAGTTTAACAGTGGAGCCAGAAGGAAAATACAGTATATTCGGAGAGCACATAGCATTATTTCTTCAACACTTATTTATCTCATTAGTCAATGGTTTTCCCCTATAGCTAGGCCTAAAGCAGTCATGCACAAACTAAAAGGCATTGTGGTATAGTTATAATTATAGGAGCTATAATTATTCTACCTCATATTTTTATAATAAATTATATATGAATATTTATTAACCCCATTTCTATCAAATCCCTGATCATTTTAACCCCTTCTCAGTTTCAAAAACCTTCTTTCTTATGAACTTTGCCATAAATTCTTCCTGGTAGCCATCCAAAAGCAGGCTGGTTCTTTTAAAACGGTTGTTTTACAAGGGTGATCCACTTTTTCCATTCTAGTGGAGATGACCTTTATAAATTCTAAGACCTAATCATTTTAGTTAATTCAAAACAGGTGGAAATACCTTATAGGAAGTCATTTGTTATGCACAAGATCAAGCTGAAATGTCATCACCTCTCCGTAACCCTCTCTCCTCGAGACTTCCTTTCCCAGATATAATTAATTGCCCCTCATCTGTGTTTTCACAGCATTTTATATGTACTCAGTTTTAAAATGAATCACCTTATAGTATAATTATTTGCTTGTATATTTGTCTTCCCCGTAGACTCAACTCCTCAAGGCTAAGGGAGTTTGTATCTTCAGATACAAACTAAAAGAGTTTCTGGCACATAACAGGTGCAGAGTACATCAGTGAAGCTTTGTAATATTGTGTACACACCACCTTTACAGCACTTAGAAAATTGCATTGTAATTTGTTCTGTGTGTTTCTATGACTCTCTAGCTACTAAACTGTGTAAATGAGGGCAAGAATAATACCCATGTGTCAATTTGTTTATATGTTCAATACCCAACTTGTTTCAAAACTATTTTCCATGCTTTGTACCACATATAGAACAAGAGGATAAGCAAAAGATAACTGAGTAAAATAATGACAAAGGATAAATAAGAGTAGGATGAATGATGTAAAGAGTCCAAGAGTGAGATAAGTACATAAAATGTCTGGCAGGACATTCTATACTGTATTTGTAAAAAGCAAGCCATTAAACTTGGCTCTGAGCTTTCTAGTAGTCAAAACAAAAAGGGCCACATGCCCAGTTACAAAATGACGAGTGTAAAATGTTCAAGTGAGCTATTTTCTTGAGGCAATGGTGGTTGGTTCTGGTGTTTTAAATGTTTATTTCTGTTTCTCAGATACAGTGGTTTTTGTCAAACCAGATGTTATAACCAGGAGCCACGTGTTTGACAGAGCTTTTACACATCAACCCAGGAACCACTGTTGAAGGCTGAGAAGTGAGGCCTCTCCTAAGCTCTGAGACGAGCCTCCAAGAGACCGACCAAGAACAAGGGATATCTACATGAATGACAACAGCCCCTCGATGTACCTCTTTCCTCACAGTCCCCTAACATCACCCGTCCAGAAGTGAGGGTACACAGGGCCTAGGATGCTTTCAACGAAGACCAATTTAGGGTTGAAATTATCCCTTCTACCCGGCCCAGAATATCTACCTAATAATGACATTTACATATCAACCATCAACTATGGTGTATGCCAGTGCTTCTCACACACTGGTATCAGGCTAGCTGCATACAAATTACTGGTGGGAACATTTTTTTTTAAATAGAAATTCCCAGGAAATTCTGATTTGTTGGGTCCTAATTGGAGCTCAGAAATCTGTATGAAGAATCTCCCAGGTGATTTGAATCAAGGTTAAGTTTGCAAAAACCGTCCACATATTCCTTGACATGAGAATGAGTGAAACAGCCACAGGTTTCTTCCTGATGTTTCTATTTCACCAGTCACAGGTTCAGTAGTTTAAATACGTTTGTTTCTACAGAGACAACTGTAAGAAGGAACCCTCGCGGCCCCTCATTGGTGGGATGCAGGACCCATTAATTCTATAGCTCCATCCTGGCAACTGAGGCTTTAGCAATACTTATCTCAGGGGCTCTAGATTTATCTTTACCCTTTGCAAACTAGGAAAAACATTTAATACAACATTTAATAACCATTTGAAATAGTTAATAAAAGGGAATAAATCTATTAGAATTTAACAACCATATAATACTGAAAAATTTTTCAGAAAAATACTACATATCAGGATATCTATTTCATTTATCTCAATTGCACATATTCCAGGAAAGGAATTTTTGTTCTGACAGTGCCTGGAATATTTATATGCTTCTAATTCTCTCTAAGTGAATGAATGAATGAATGAATGACTTGTCATGTCAAATTGAGAGGGAGAAGCCAAAGAGAAGAAGAAAAAAGGGAAGAGATGTAAAGTATATTGCATTCTAACCAAATTGAATGTTTTCATACAAATAAACCCAAAATTAAGATGTCAATTTCATCACTCTAGACCTTTTCTGTGAAGGGAAATATTTGGCTAATGATTACCAAGTTTTCTTATAGATCTGTTAAGACAGGTTATATGTCCACTCAATTCTTATGTCAAAGCAATTTCTAGGGAAGTCCATGATTTTTCTCCCTATTTAACATACCTCATCAAGACAATCTGAAGGGCAATTGCAGTATTAAAAACCCGTAAAACAATTTTTTAGCTCATATATTCACAGGATGTCTAAGAATTGTTTTCACATAAGATCAGAGATTGAAGTT